AGACATTTCTGGTCCTATTACAAAGCGCGCTCAGGTTGTAATAATATACCCAGTAGCTTACGGTACTCAGATAAACTTTTAACTTCTGGCGAGTCAATATGTAACGCGTTCTCTGAGTATTTTCTGTCCACTTTCCTGGATCAGTCAACCGACTCTAGTAACTCCTTACCGGACTGTGACTCGTCTGAACCTCAACCTTCAGACATTGACCGTGTGGACGTCACGGTATCAAAAGTAAGAGGACTTTTATCGGCGCTGGATCCATGTAAGTCTGCTGGTCCAGACAATGTCACATCCGTATTTCTTATCAGGACTAGTGATAGTATAGCCTTACCTGTGTTCCTGTTATTTGAAAAGTCTCTGTCTTGCTGTCGAGTACCTCATATTTGGAAATGTGCGTTTATTACACCTGTTCACAAGAAAGGCTCCAAGACTGATGTAGTTAACTATAGACCAATATCTAAACTGTGTATCCTTTCTAAAATTTTCGAAAAAGTCGTATATACCCAGGTTTATGCTGCAATTAAACAGTCCCTCAACTGCAGCCAGCATGGATTTGTGAAGGGTCGTTCTACAGTTACTAACCTCATTATATTTAATGATTATCTTTCCCAGTCCATGGATGCAGGCTTCCAGGTCGACGTAGTCTATACAGACTACAGTAAATGTTTTGACAGAATAGATCACATTATACTGCTTCGTAAGCTACAAAAAATCGGTATAAGGGGAGATTTACTTAGATGGTTCGCTTCGTACATTGATAAGAGATCTCAGGCTGTCGTTATCAATAACTACATGTCAGGCTGGGTTACTATACCAAGCGGTGTTCCACAGGGCTCTCTGATTGGTCCGTTGCTATTTTTGATATTTGTGAATGATATTGTCGACTGCTTCCACCATAGCAAAGTTATTTGTTTTGCTGATGACATGAAAATTTACGCAACGATCAGATCAGCGGCGGATGCCGGACGCCTTCAAGAGGACCTTGGTAGACTGGATGGATATTGTTTGAACAACAAATTGGATCTTAACCCGGTAAAATGCTCTGTGGTAACCTTTAGTCGAAAGAAAAATAATGTGTCCACCCAATACTACCTCAAAGGCCATCAACTTGATAGACTGGATTCGGTTCGTGATCTTGGTGTGGTACACGATTCTAAACTCCTTTTCGACGAGCATATTGAAACAATAACTGCTAAGGCAGCGAGGTCTTTGGGTTTTATCATGAGATCGACAGCCCCATTCAAAAATGCAAAAACGTTCAAAATTTTATACTGCGCCTACGTACGAAGCATCCTTGAATACGGATCGCAAATATGGAATCCCCGGTATGATAAATATATTGCAAGAATTGAAAGAATTCAAAGGAAGTTCATTAAGTTCTTGTGCTATCGTTTGAAAATTCCTAAGAATACTGGATGTGATAACTATATTAAACTCTGCAAACAATTTCACTTTCTTCCACTTTATAAACGTCGTGAGATAGCTGACGTTACTTATATCCTATCCATAGCAAACGGTAGGGTTGATTGCCCTGAACTCCTTGAAAAGTTGTCTCTCAATGTTCCCTCGAAATCCTTTAGGAAGCACACACCTCTTTGTCCCCCGGTTGCAAATAGTAACTACAGGCAGAGCTCATTTTTGTGTCGAGCTTGTCGTACCTTTAACGACATCAGTAGCAAGCATGATGTAGATACCTTTTGTACAAGCCTGAGAAAAGCTAGAACCATGATAAGTGGAGAATTTTTTAATAACTAATTTATGTTTTTTCAAATATGTTTACATCATTTTTCTTTATATAATTTTCTTGCGGTGTGCCTACTGCTTTGATTATATTTAAAATTTTTAATTTGGTCTTAGTTGTTAACTATTCTGGCACTATTCGTGTGAATCTGTAAGTGGCTCAATGTCACTATTTTTCTGCTAAAATTGTATAATGTAGCTGTTGATTCACCATTTATTAAATAAATAAATAAATAAATAAAAGCGGTAGATGATAAATTTGACGGTACGAGTTAGAGATACGCTTCATCGACTTTATAAAATGAAAACAATGAACGATGACTGGCTGTTAGGTTTTTGTTATTTTTCCATTTTGTGGACACAGTTATCTTCGTGCACTTGTCTACTGAGCCTATTTGACTTGCAAAGCTGCTCTAAGCTGCTCTCCCAAGTTGTGCCACACGCGACGTAGTACATGACGTGTGATTGATTACCTTAATTACCTAAACTAAAACTACAGATAAAAATCTTACTATCGTGTATGTAAAAACCAGATAACGTACGACGTAGTTATTAGGATTTAGGAACAAAGGCGAGATAAGATAATTAACTTGCAAAGACATAAAGAAAATTTTGCAAATGCTTGTGAAAAATCTAAGAAACTTATTATTAGAAGACGCCTCCTCGTCGTACAAAGAAATACAGTTATAATTCAAAAGGTCAAAATCTTTATGTAAGAAGTTGAATGATTTTCTATTTCTGTCACAATCTGTTTGTTGTTTATATTTTCGTTGTGACAAAACATGATTAATAACGTCACGAACAATGATATAAATAAGCCTTATTATACGAGTCAATTTACGCAAAGCGATTGGTTGATCACGAATGAATTTCATGACTGTACATTTCAGAACGAATTCTGTATGATTACCCGCATTAGTGTCATTAGACGTTATTTTTAACGCGGGCCCAAAATATCTCGCTAATTAATGCGTCACTAGTTCATATTTACTTAAGCCGACTGTTACTAGAGCACCACTATAACAGCGCTTGTTATAACTATATTTTTAACAGTAAAAAAACGAGATAATTTGTTCCTCGCTTCCTCAGCAAAATTTAGCTTTTTATGCGACTTTTTTTATAAATGTTTTCCTTGATAATTTCCTTTGAAAATGGAAATTAATATTAGCGTCGTTTCGATCGTTTCTCAGTGTTTAACAACATGATTAACTGTGGTCGTTATTATTTTAAGTGGCAGTATGTGGCAGCACCTGCTTTGGTACTTATGCAAGATATTTTACGAGTATCATTATCAACAATAATAAATAGCTTATCTTCACTATGCACTTAGCGACTGCAATAAACATTTCTGGTGGTAGTGCAGGACAGTGTGCAAAATATTAAGTCATAACTTCTTAAACTTATATTTCACAAAAGAATTCAAACCGTCTAACAATTTCCACTGGATGCTTGAACTTACTCTTGTCTTTTTGGTTGACTACAGCGAAACTTCACAACGCCTTCACATTCACACATAAGAATGCACAAAAAATGGCCATAAAGAGGGTAAAAAGGTTTTTGAATGTAAAAAGTTTAAGACTCCGTCTCCAGAAATGTGATAAAAAGTCGACAATACTTTTGGTGATGCGTGAATTTAACCCACTTGGTTGAAAACTCAAAGATAACTAACCGGCAGTGCGTGCGAGATGTAGATGTAACCCTCAGCCATATCTTATCCGAGTTCTATAAATAGGTAATATCTGTGCTAATCTGTACGCAGTGATGCTCGCTTGTAAATCCACTGAGCCGGCACTGATACGATTTTACGGGGAATACCTAGGGAAAACACGTTGCTCTACTGAATGCCGTAGGTACGGGAATAGGTAAAAAAATAACGTAAAAATAACACGAGTGTGAGATGAATATGTAGATAACATTTTACGAAATAAAAGAGATATTTTCACGATTCTTCTGATAGAGCAGAAATATCAGACTGGAAGTTTAGCTTTAAGTTGAAAACATTTTGGCCACATTTGAAAACCAATTTTTAAAATGTTATTTTTATCCTTTTACTTTTTACCAAAAGTTGTCTCATACAAGGGACTTTTGTCAATTAACAACATTATTAGCTGAGTCACCAGCGTAATTTTAATTAAAACCTCCAGTCACGTTCATAATGGATTACGTGGACAAGACGAATCGTGATAATTCAAGGTAGGCTGTTTGCATCCTCTAAGGTTTTGCTGGTTAAAACACTTAAACCCGAGTGACGGCCGGCGACTTGATTGCATCTTAAAAACATAATACTACTAATCTGAAGACACGCGATTGCGGATAATTTTCGGTTTACTTACGACCGATCGCTAAAAGTGGATCGTCTATTCGGGACCTTAAAATTGATTCAATCCGTGTGATGAATGCTTGACATCCTGCAGACGTGTAAGGCCGGTAATACGAACCAGTTCCCGCCACTAACACCAATCAATATCAATACAACTCTAGCTTTTTAATTAGCAAGCCGATCCGGTGAATTAATAAGTATAATTAACTGTTCCGTGTATAGCTCTAACCGGGGATAATAGTACTGTGGGATCTAGTCTTAGAAAGCATTAGGAATTCTCACGAGTGTTCGGTGACGCGAGTTTTAGTTTCTTGTAAGTATCAATATTTAGCATTCACGTACTAATTTCCAATACATTAGCATATTTTACATTACAATCTGTGGGGCGCAAATCTAATTTGTTACAGTGGAAACTTTGGAGTTGATCACCAGATCTGAACATTGGTCTTATCACGAGAGTTTTCTGACAGACCATATCCACACAGTTTTAATATCTGATGTTAACAAAGAGAGTTTCGTATAAAAGCCAATTTCATTTAAGCGACATTCCTTCATTGTCGTGTAGACAGACGGATCGATTTCGCAACACATGCTACACACCCATGAGCCATGGCTTTATTAAATTTATACAGTCATTGTTAGCCAAGCATCAAATTAACTGGGTACATCATACTTCTCGTTATGTAAGAGTTTCAGACAATAGAACATGTGAAAGAAATCTTCATGGTCTGCTAGTGTTTCAATTCTATCTATCACTTTTATGAAAGAGATTCGTGATATAAAAAATGAACGCCTATCGCAGTTGAATCGCTCCGGATATTGCCGAACGGTTCCGAAATATGAAGCTTTGAGAAATAGGGATGTTTTCGTTTCGATGAATCCATATTAATGTCCTGTAGTTTAATGCCACTAGAAAAATTCGATATTAAATACTTACATAATCTACCGAAGCTAAGGGAGAGGCGTTTTCTAAGCTTTTGCATTTTGCTCATTGCGCCACCCCTTTTTTCTCTCATTGTCACGCCTGAAACAAAGAAAAAGAGAATGTTAAAACTCAAAAGAATGATGTCAATAGGTTAATACTTGAAAATAACACTTATAAAAATCGTTTCTTATCTAATCATTTTTGGGAATTACTAAAGGAATTGGAAAAAGAATCGATGAGATCATCCGTGCGGAAAGTGTCTATAAATCCGAGTACGATGGTACTCGTTATCTGATAAATAATTAATCATTATAATAGCACGACTGACCGGGACAGGGCTATGGACTAGAATTAATGATAACCGTCCAATACCGTAATTAGATAAACCGTAATAAATGAATTATTCTTCGATTCGACGTAGGTCCATATCTACTACGGTTAGCGTCAGCATGCATAAACGTAAACAATTTTCACAAATAGAAATCCAGTTCGATACCGCCATTTTAATTTAATTAACATAATAATTGCAAATTAATAACATGTTACGGTCGTGTGAGGTTAACAAGCGTTGCGGATAGCGGTTTCCCAAGTAACAAAAGCTTCTATAACCAAGGCGCTTTGTCACCAATCAGTGTTATAGTAGGCCTGTAATGGTAACCATTATGACTGCCCGTACTATAAAGGTTTTTAACAAAGCGATTTGATTCTATAAGATAAAGAGCATTTAAGTTCTATAATTAAGCTCTTAGAACGCTTACAGGACCATACAAAAGAATCGTTAAAGTTTTGCACTATAATAGATATGAATAAAGTGATTATGGTACTATTTAGTACTATTGAAAACCTTACCGACCCTTTCATGTATCTATTTTGCACTAATAATGCATCAAAATTTCTTTTATAGTACTAGTTTTGTAGTAGTATCAAAAACATAATTACAGGATTAATCTGCACTATGAAAGCACCTTGCACAACTATTATGTAACCTTTTAGCTTTTTAAAAGCTCCCTCAGTATTGCTATGGGGCTAGTTCTGTAAAGGTCATGAAAACTCTTCTATAGTATTAAATAATACATAACCATTATAAATAGCACTATAAGTGAGTCTGTGTTACTCATACGACACTAAAGCGTGACATAAAAGGATTAAAATGATAATTAATGGACTAATTACATCTATACTAGCTTTTCAGAATTAATTATATGACTAGTATTTCATAAATGGTGACACCTGCCGACTGCTTAGAAAAAGAAAATTTAAGCTTATAAAGGTGTAATAATGGATTTAAAATCTCTGCGTCGGTATAAAGTGAGTGGTAGTTATAAAAAAAAGGTGAAAAATCGATATACACAAGCACTATCATCGATACAAGCAAATGTAAATACTGGTCAAGCGGGTCCAGAAAATTTAGCACATGGTTCTGTACAAAATATTTGTTTTGTACCACAACAGGGCTGTAGCAAATTTTCTTTTTCTCTAGCCAGGAATAAGGATGAAGAATATGAGAGAGAGAGCACCTCTGTTGAAAGTCCCCCTACATCGGAATGCTCAGATGAGGAGAGCAATAAAGATGAACAATTATGCAGTGACATAAGAAAATGGTGCGTCACTTATAATATACCTCACCAAGCAGTTAAAAGTTTGATAGAAATAATAAACAAGCGCATTCCCAATGTGTTATCAAAAGATCCAAGGACACTTTTGAAAACAGATGTTAAAATAAATATCAAATCAATACCTGGTGGATCTTACTGGCATAATAGCTTAACAGAAACATTGCATACTTTACTAGGCATCATAGAAAATGTACCGAATAATATTTCATTGAACATTAATATAGATGGATTACCCCTTTATCACAGCTCAAAACAACAGATATGGCCGATACTGGGTAATATTTATGAATTGTCGCAGCTACCTCCTTTTGTGATCGGGATATATTACGGACATGGAAAGCCAACCGATTTAGAATCTTTCTTAAGAGAATTTGTCGACGAGATGAAACACTTGATAGAAAACAATATTACTATTAAAGACATGAACGATACAGAAAAAACAGTTGGCGTTCAAATAAGACTTTTTACCTGTGACTCTCCAGCACGAGCAATGATCAAAGGTAAATATAAATATAACTACCTATTATAAATAAATAAATAAATTTTGATACGTTTTATGTATACCCTGTGCATTTTATTAGACTCCAAAATCGGTTACAAAATCTGTTTTATGAATTTATGATATACTTACTTAGTTTTTTTTTCAGGCGTTTGCAATTACAACGCCAAGGATGGCTGTCTAAAGTGCACAACAAGAGGAGAATATTCACATGTTTCTGGTACCGTTTACTTTCCAAGAACAGGCTGTGCAAAAAGGAATGATACAGATTTCCGAGCGAAATGTTACGGACAGCATCATAAGATGGATTCGCCTCTATTGGAGCTACCTGTAGATATGGTGGAAGACTTTATCGTGGGAGATTCATTGCATTTATTAGATCTGGGATTAATGAAACGACTTCTTAAAGGTTGGATTGAAGGAAAATTTGTAAATAAAAAAACTAAGTGGTGCGCTCAGGATATCGTTACAGTTTCAAATTTTTTATCCAACTGTAAATTGGTGAAAGAAGTGCATCGATCTGTTAGATCTCTAAATGAATTGGCACACTGGAAAGGATCCGAGTTTAGAGTTTTCTTATATTACTTGAGTTTTATAATTCTACAAAAAGTATTAAATACTGAAGCTTATCATCATTTTCTGTGCCTTTTTTGTGCCGTGACGATTTGTTCCAATAAAGAGTATTTCCATTTTCTGGACCTGGCAGATTCATTACTCATTTCTTTTTTGGAAATATTTAAAAATATATACGGAAAAGATTATATAACCAGTAACGTACATAATTTAACACACTTAACTGAAGAGGTTAGAAAATTTGGGCCTTTGCAAGATTTCAGTACATACCCATTCGAAAATAAATTATATACGTTAAAGAGAATGATACGGCATGGAAATAAGCCCCTTGCACAAATTGCTAGACGCTTAAGTGAGAAAGACATGACAGATCTGAAAGGTATCATTCAAAACAAAATGACCAAGACTTATCCATTTTTAAAAATACAGACTACTAAAACAGGTACAAATAGAAATGTACTTCATTTAGAAGCATTCATTTTATCGTCACAAAAACAAGATTGTTTTTTTTTAACTCATGACATTAGTATTATAGAAATAACTTCAATTATAGATGATGAAGGTAGTATTGTAATAAAAGGTAATCGTATCGAAAATCTTAATGATGTTTTTAATATACCAATCAAATCATCGTACCTAAATATATACAAATGCGATTGTAATAGCATTCTTAAACAGAAAGTTAATTGTAAAGTAGATTCAATTAAATGTAAAATTGTCTGCATAACTTACGATTCTATGATGTATTTTGTCCCATTATTGCACACTTTAAGATAAGGAAAACTAGTTCCGTGTTTAAAAAAAAGACTTAATGTTTCTTATTTGTTTATTAATTATAAATGTGATCTATGGCAAGACGTGTTTTAATGTGTATATTCTAAACCTAGAAAAAATAGGGACACTAATGGTCGTCATCACAATAAGTAATATTAAAAAAAAACATAATCTCGCCTTCTTGAGAATAACTATCTACAAAAAGATGTAGGTATGCGTCTTTTTGTTTAACAACATAATTATCATATATTTTTTATAAATAAAAAAATAAACATTAAAATCTGTACTACCAAAAAATCAAATCAAAATCTGTATTAAAATCTGTAAATTTATACGTACTGAGGAACCTTACAAGATTCCTGTTGATTTTGATGTTTAATTTTCTGTAGATTTTTACGGTCAATCACACTCAGTAATCAACTGAATACCTATCTAATCAACTAGGCACGTTATCTCTCTCTCTGTGACCATATAAAAAATTAGGAGTACCTAACCTACCCTTTGGTACAAAATTATCATAATTAAAAAATCTTACAATCTAAACTCAATAATCTAAATGAGTGCCTAATCAACCAGGCACATTCCTTGTCTAATAATACTCCCATAACTATAACTCTGCGTTGAGCTTTACCTACCTACCTTTCTAAATAATCTTATTGATAAGTATATAGGAAACATTACTATCTTATACCTATCTAATCTTTAACATTATTGTAAACTGCTATGCTATAGGGGGCAAAAAATTATGTTCAGTCTTTACATTTACTAAATCAGTCTAGAGAAATTTAATAAAAATAAGTACTTATCGTCTATTCAGTCTTATTTGTAAAGCGGACACATCTCTCCGTCAATAATAACTTAACATGCCGTAAATATTTTTTTAATAAACAACAGAAGAATTAATGTTACTCACATCAATGGTGCGTTTTCTCTTGTCCACAAACTTAACTAAATTTAAGTTCAGTGCATCTTTCTTTTCCATTTCATTAAGAAAAGTGCAGAAGGTAAAATATTAGTACCTGTCAAATTATGACACTCCATACATAATTTAGACGTGACTAAAAACATGGCCACAAAAAATACGTCGATTTACTTCAGGCGCTGTCTAATTTGACAGGTTTAAACAAATACGTATCTTCTGTCCTTCTTTAATAAAATAGGATGAGAAAAATGCACTTAATTTTAGTTAAGTTTGTAAACAAGAGAATGAGCACCAATGTGACGTACACTCATAAAATTTTCTAAACTATTGTTGCAACAGAAATTTTATAACTTAACACTGGTTACCTGCCTAATTTGCTAAAATTGTAAATAAAAGAAGTAAAGGCCAAATAGTAATTATTTTTCCTTTACTTCTTTTATTAACAAAATTGTGTTTATCTTGCTGTACCATTCATAATTTAATGTTGAACAGTTTCTAATCTTCACTATCACCTGCTTCAGGCGCTGCTGCATCCTTCTGACTTGGACCTGGTTCAGACAGGAAATTTTCAGTCGAGTTAAGAACTTCTGGGGCTTTTTTAGTTTTCTTTACCTTATTTTTGTTGCTGAGGCTCGTGCCATTTTAGCCGTATTTCTTCGATTAGAATTACGAAGAATGTTTTTGAAAAATTCTTCACACTCTCTCATTGTGAAGTTTTTATCTGATTTCACGATGATTGAAAAAAACAAGTTGATGACACGTCCGAAAGACTTGAAACATATTTTCTTTTTGTCCTCACCTCGTGCACCTCCTGCCCAGGAACAAGTTGTAAGGAAACTTCGGTCGAACATAACATCAACCAAGGTGAAACAGTTATTTAAACCTCTGCCTTTACCAGTACCGCAAACAAAAGATAACTTTTTAATAATTGCTGTGGTAGACATATCATCTTTGAGGGTATCTTCCAGTTTTTGTAGAGAATCCAAACTATTAATGGGATTGAATCCTATTTCTTTTTCTAAGTTCTGTTTTTCGGTTCTTTTCAAAAACTCTTCAAACTGTGCTTGCATTGAAATAATGCGTAACAACAACTGTTTTTGGTTTTCTTGCAATTCTTTTTGATTTTTTTCTATGGCATTAACAGTAACAATAAGGGTGTCCAATTTTTCTGTGGTATCACTCTTACTGCTTGGTGTCATATTTGTTTCCTGTTGGGGCAGTAAAATATATTGAACATGCTGGTCAGAAGTCACATGATCGGCGACTTCACTGGGCTCAGTGTGTATTACTACTAATGGCGCTTCCGGTTCTGGTTGTTGCACCGGTTGATTCATGACGGCTTTTTCCTAGAAAAGGGAACTTTAATTAACCTATCTTAGTCATTTTTTTTTTATAATTTAAGACCCATCAAAAACTAAAGTTAAAAATAAAAGTCAAGTTCACAAATTAGAAATGTAATCCCCCCCACACACACGCACACACAAAACCGTGGTACCCTTAAAGAGCAAAAAATAATAAAAGAAACTCAACTTAATGTACCTCAGTATATATTAATAAGTCAAATAAAATACGTCACGTTAGGGGACCGAGAAATAATAGACTATTTGTAATTGAACTGTTAGGCTTGGAGTGGTCCCCCAATGCGACGTATTTTTGTTAGAATTATAAATATATACTTAGGTACTTTAAGACTGAGTTTATATTATTATTTTTTGCTTTTTAATGGAACTACGGTTTTTGTGTCGGGGGTTTAGGTTGTACTATAAAAAAGTATAAAATTAGTTTTATTTTGTAATGTGCAAACCCCTCTTTTTACGTCGGGGTTAATTAAGAATATGCGTGGTTGCTGATTTCGCCGACAAAATAATTATATTTCGATTTACTTATTACACAAAACAAATATACTTTGTCGGCGAAAAGAAAGATTTTTAATAAGTTTTAACAAAAAAAAACTTGTGTTATCGCATGGTGTTCTACAAGCCTATATACAAAAAGAAAAAAATAGTAAGTAAATGCTTATCTAGTTAACTTACCAAACATCGTTCCAGTATGTCATTGTGAGATTTGACTTTGCTTACTTCTTCCTTGATGTTTGTAGTAATTTCGTCCTCTTCAGTGTCTGTTACTTCGGTCATAATTGATATAGCTAGCTGACCCTCATCATAGGTTAAGCCTGACCTTTTAACTATACATGGCATCAAAAACCAGTCAGCACCAGGCAGCGAATTTTCTACTCTCGTAAGTTTATCAGCTTTTTTTCGAGGCCATGCTAAGCAATTATTTTTCACCCAACCTTCAGGGACGCAGCTAAGCACCTTTTTTCCATCTTCCAGTGTTTGCACAATCGTAAATGGCATTATCTGTAATGTCAGAATAAATTGTATAGCCTTGTCAATGAAAATATGATATTACTAGCGTAATGAATATATGCGAATATTTGGTATTCGCATTATATTCATCGTACTTATTACCTGACTTATATGAGGCTTGATTCAAAAATTTACCTCCGAGAAACGTTTCTCTGCCTAATGATCCGCCGACAAAAGGTTTTGTTTATGAGTTGTTCGCCGACAGAATGATTAATTCATAAGTGAATCGGCGACAAAAACTATCACCAAAAAAAGTTTTGTAAAACAAGCTTAGGCATGTTTTGCCACTACTAGTGATTGATTTAAAGATTATACATAATATCAATAAACTTAACTTGTGTTGAGGTTATAGGTTTTCGTCATCAGTACTTTTTTTGACTACCTAACCCTGTAGGTATAAAAAATATCATATAAGTAACCTGTTTTTGGACTTACCGTTGCGGTATTGCTCGGAGCTAAATGTGGGCAGTGGGTAGGTACCAAAACGGGGAATTTCTTCTGTGACAGTGGATTCGTCAAGATTTAAGAATAAGAAGTTAATAGGAAGTACTTTTCTGCAAACAAATGTACATTAATAAACAAATTTAATACCAACTTAAGTAAAAAGACAAACTATAAGTACCAGTATCTTGTGCCTACTTGATAATTACATTAAGTGAATTCAAGGTGGAGGTAGGGTCGGTAACTTCGAGGTTTGGATTATTATGTTTTTTTTATTCATGACAAAAACACTCGTCCGGAGGGTAATGGTCATAAATTGCCACCTCACGACAATATTTGCACCAGAAAAAATTTAAATCAATTAAATAATTTATAACTGTCTTATTCACAACAAAATGATATGGTAAGTGCGGGTCAGTAAAATAACCACACACAATACAATTTTGTGCAAGTTTAAAATGTGTTTCTTGCCACGGCCATTCAAATATATTATAATTTAAAAGTAAACAATCATATCTGCTCAGGAAACAATCCACATCCATTATATATGCCATCGTTAATTTTAGTATGTTACGACGCAGATAAAGCACTGAAACAAACGCAATTGTATAATTACTTCTTGGCAAAAAAGGTTTATTTTATATTTGGACAACGAACCCTAATTCGTTTTTGCTAAAAATATGGCTGCTGTTTTCGGCCATGATAGCACATTAGCAGCACGGCTGAAGCCAATGTGTACTATAGCAGCCATACTCGGGACCAGTCCTTATTTTATTTATTAATTTTTTTTATAATTTAATTAAAACACGTAAATTATAATAGCGCATTGTCAAATTTGAAATCAGCATAATGATTTTCTCGATACAATAATTTTCGCAAGAGCAAGTTATGCGAGAGTAAGACCATATCGGTCCATGCATGTTTTATAGTATGTTGTGTCAAGAAACAATGGAAAACGTCATAAAGCGTAACTTACCGATTATATTTTGTTTTCTTGAAGAACACTCACGACTCGCGATCACAACACAAAAAAAATGGTCACCAGTGTGATAAAAAAGATCACTGGAATCGTTTACGGTGCAAAATAGCACTATAAACATGTTTTGGTGGCTATTTCAGTACTAAAGAGCGTTTCTCGACACTTTTACATTTCAACTAAAGAGCTGACTTATCACAGTGAGAGCCTTTACGTAATGTCTATACAATAAATCAGTGATAATACTAGGGCCTAATTGGGGTTTTGTAAATGTTTACAACACCATTATAGTACTAATCATGAACACTAATTAGCAGGTTCTAAAACGTTCTCAGGACCTTTATAGTACCAAATTTTGTTTCTTGGGTTGTTACTGAATTTATATGACTCAGTCACGGCAATTGTAAAGTTAGCTTAGATGACGTTAGGCCTGCCAATACAATAAGCTGGCTCAACAAACATAAGCCAAATGCTTATCACGCGTTCAGCTTACACCAGTATCGTTACATTACTATCTCCGTAACTGTACTAGCTTGGTATAATGTCGAGTCCATTGGTCTAAACGAGCAACTGACATTCAACTTGCTTCGCGTGTTCGTTGTAATTCCACGTTCCAATTAACAGAAGTTACCTTTCGTGTGCTTTGTAAATGGATAAGATGCTGTGTAGCACGTAATATACAGTAAACACGAAGTTTATCATAATAAGACTAGCTTATAATAAACTTCAATCAAAACGTTACGGTGTTTAGCTCTCTGATTGGTTGATTAAATTGGAGCTAGCCAATCATAGCGCCTTAACGTAAAGCAAACTCAAACTAGAGACTCTGACCACTGACTAGTCTAACAACAAAATTACAAGGGTGTATCAAATATCTTAAATTCACTTGGAAAGAATCCAAGGTTTATAAATAAAACAATAGACCTGCGAAAATACCTATAAACACCGTAAATTATTTTTTATTACTATTAGTAGGTAGTCTTTGATTTTTGCGTCACTGTTTTCATCCATTACTGGTCAAAGGCCACTTCAATAGCATACCTAATTCGAACTTAGCAGTGACTTAGCTCGAATAAGGTAAGTATAACAGATGAATCCTAGAAACCATTTTCATGACCAATAATTAACCCTAAATCATGCCTGCGCATACGCAGCAATGTAAAAAATATTTTGCCTCGTTTATTACAGTTAAATATTTTAATATTTAAATATTTCGAGAATTTATATAAAAGCACAACTCAACAAAAGCTTAGTGCAAATAACAGTGAAGTAATTTATATCACCACTATATATATTTTATCGACTCAGGCGCAATTTTCACGTCATAATCGAATTGACGCAACAGCGCACCTTGAAAACATATTGAATGCACTAACCTATGATAAAATGATACCAGACGTACTGAATAAATCATTTTTAGTGCACGGCGAACTATAAATCAATCCTGTCAGTACAATAGGTACATTAAGCAATGAGACCCAGTCCATTTACCTGATTAATTAAGAATGTTAGGAGGGATATCTCATAAATCAGTTGGAAGCAAGAACAGCCTAATAAAATCAATAACATCACTGGCCAGCAGTCTGATGTACATTAGTGTTTTACTGATTTTCAAGTTCAGAAACTATTTTGAGGATATTTTTTCTTGTACCTTTTTTCTCTTCAATATTTTAAGAATGTAGGAAGCCACTCTAGACATTGTTTTGCTCTAGCCAACATTGTTAATTTGTCAAATCACCTCAATGTACATTTTCCTTTCTCCCACATACTCGCTATCTCCAGCAGACAATTCATACAAACATCGACAAATGATTTGAATATGTACGAATTAGTGACTTAAGTAAACAAAATAGGAAGTGTTGCGCATTCAATGCTCCATATAGCGTCGTTATCGGACAGTCGACGCCAGTCACTACGGAATTACACTATTGGTATTGTAAAACGAACTTTTCCCACTTTGACGAAGCCGGGGACAGTTTCTTTGTAATGATAGGACGCATGCTCTCGTTGAGGGTGTGCCAAGAATGCCGGGCGCCACGTCGTCGACGCCACGCTGCCGCCACGGCTCGTATTTTTAACAACATTGTCAACAAAAACTTTAGGTAGATAGATACTTACCTACCTACTCTTTTGAGCTAACTCTAATGGACTTAAATATATAAGAGTAAGGATACGTTCTATTAGATTCAATACATCAATCGGGTAACCAGCACGTGTAATAATATTTTATTTTCTAAGCAAGGTTAAGTTCTAAAATATTTTTCTCAAGAAAATACGTAATCTATAAAACTCAACCGTAAACGTTTACTCTCAAGAATTCTGTCTGGTTTCCTTCAGCGTGTTGGCTCAGGGCCCAGCGAATACAGACCGCAGTCCGCAGTCATTGAGCTCTATGAGAGACGAAGCGAGCAGGTCTTACTGCAATGACCTAGAAAGCAAATTACTGCTTTACGAACACCTACTCACATCTCACGTCTCACCCAATAAGACAGATTTCATAAAGTTGGCAAATGGGAAATTTTATAGATCCACTTGGATTTCCAATTTATTGGACATGCTCCTTGCTATCTTTACAGTGAAAATGGATTTAATAGTGCTTATAAATCACAACGATATTGCTTCTCTAGAGACAACGTACGTCCGTTAGGTTATAGTGACGTAGCTCGAGAGTGCTGGAAACGAATTTATTATGGCACAATGTTTGCACATGTGGGACATAATAAGTTTTACCTGTCGGACTAAACATGGCAAACATTGTCGGGTTGGTTGTGCTACGATATTATTATGGCGTGTTGATTTATGATCGTGTTATCGAACGATAAGGTTCAGTATTGTATGACGAATGGGGTTAAATCCGTCCGGCGTCAGTCAACAGCCCTTGGCGCTTCGCTTTAGGCTGCACAAACATGACCACCATGGACAAACAGCTACGATGTCAACGCTATCTAATCTGGCTTGGAAGCGTCAGGAACAATATGTATGGCGTACGTTGTGCAAACATTACCAGTGTACATCGTTACATCACCCAGACACGCTTGACGGACACGTGCAAACGTAAAATTTATCGATAATTACTATACTTAAAGAATAAACAGATAATAATCACTAAATTACTCAGAGGTGTAAGGAATTTAAGCACTTTTTTCTAGTAAATATTATCTGAAACAGGAATAGCAATTATTAATAAACCGATAAAGCGAAAATAAAGCGAACGATAAATATACTCATTATTCATGCGTTTGAGTGCATTTAATGATAATAAGCGCTCATCGTATTTAACAAAACAGTACAATTTACCTGCCAATTTGAAGACAATTATCCATTATAAATGATGTTAAGGCTAACGTAA